CTTTGGCTGCTTAAACAGTTAAAAGAAATCTTCAATCATTTGTCCGCAGCTGGTCCCCCCCATCCCCCCCATTTGATAATAAGGAAATGAGACCGAATCTGGAGTGTTATTGTCACTGCTTGGTTTTGTGTTGAGTAGCTTTTTTTTTCTTCCCTAATTGGTTTCTTTGATGCTGTATTGTGTCAGTGATACTGTTGCTGCTAAGAAGTGACAGTAAAGTAAATTTGTTGATCTTGGTCAAGCTGTTAGTAGAGTTACATCCTAAAATACACCAGGATAGTAGATTTATTTTCTCCCACTTCTCATGCAGGTCAAAATTAGATGGGGAGACATAACTTTGGTTTAGACGTGGTGGCCACTGGTTCTAGATGTTGGTGAATTAAGTGTTGCTTTTAGGATTGCTACTTAAAAAAAATGACTAAAGGAAAATTCATTACCTATTAATATCACCGTCAGTTAATGAGGCATTACTTGCTTTAACTAAGCTGAAATGTGATGCAGTTCAGCCTTTTTACTGCATTGTGGTTAACATTCACATGATGCTGGGTGTAGAAACAGCTTCTCTTAGCATGAGATACTTCCATCCTAACCTGTATAGCCCGAGTGAGATGGGAGATTGTAGCTCATTCAAGTAACTTTGAGAAGGTCATTCCTTTTCAAAGGAATGAAGATAAGACTTCTGGTATGCTACATCTCATTCAAATGCTTATGTTAATTACAAGGAAGTGTCTCATGGTAACTGTTTGATTCCATGAGATAACTTATCTAATGCAGATTGTGTAGCCTGAATGGACTGATGGAGTAACGTGTGGCTAAACAGGTTTAAACATTTCTGATGTGTTTATGGTTTTCTAAAGTAGTCTAAAATAACTGCTATCTAACATGTTGCAGCTAATATCCAAACTAACTTCAGGGTTAGTAAAATGTAGCTCAAAATGTGGTCACTTCCTCAGGAGAGTGCAAGTCTGGTTTTAAGCACTTGTATCGGATACTGTCATGTTCTTTGCTCAACATTTTCATGTTTAAAAATATCATTGCAATATTGGTTCTGTAGTTACACTTTTTAAAGGAGAGTATCAAAAACCTCACAGAATTTTGTAGAATTACAATTTTGTGCAATCTGGGTACCTTTTTTGACATCGTATAGTGCCTTTGTGTTGTTGGCTGCTATTTAAAGACCCTGCGTGAAGCCCCTTCCCGGGGATCCCCCTTCCAGTCTACCTATAACATGTGCTTGCCAATAGCCCAGAATAGCCGAGCTGACAGCTTTGAGCAGGACACGCTGTCCCGTAGGTGTCAGCGGGCTCAGAGCTGGTGTCATGTGAGCTGTGCCATATCTCTTTTCAAAGCTGATATTTTGTTCTTACTTGTTCCTTTACTTCCAGCTGTAGTGCTTTAAACAAACAGTAACCAAACCCAAATACTCCACCTAATACATTCCCGTACACGCTCGTGGCAACTAGGCTGTTCTGAGCTGTTAAATTGCCTTCCTGTTGTCTAATCTCTCACAGTAAGTAATTGTACCTTGAGTTTCCTTACAGCAGCTGGAAGGCTGAGGTTCTCTTAGGAATGTCCCAGATTTTTGCATGATAAGATGGCTCAGGTTCTTGTATTCAGAAATAACTGCCTTTTTTCTTTTTGAGCTTTAGTCCTTTCCAAAGGCAGGATGCGGTAGATACGCTGTTTGATCTGTGTTAGACTACAGGTATTTCACATGACACTGCCTGGACATGCCTTTTATCTTGAGGCTGTAAATGTGAAATTTCTGAATTCCTTTGGAGATAAGTGGCGAGAAGCAAGGCTGTCAGTGGCCTGCAGTGTTTGCTCTGTGTTTGTGAACTTAGAAGAGAAAGAACCTGTGTTATGTTCTCCCTTCAAGTAAACAGCCTTTCTTCAAATCATCAATAATAAAATAATTAAGATAGTTCTGGCAGTGTAATGTAAGGTAGAAATTTCATAGGACAGTTTAATGTTGATATTAAGAGACATTTTTTTTATTTTTAAATTATTCACCCGGTTACTAATAAACCTACAAATGCCTGATACTGAAGGAATCCTAAAATCAAACTTATTCATACTAGTAGTGATTATCCTTCTCCCACTAGAGTTTCATAGTACTGACTTTGAAAAACTGTTTTTATTGAGAGCAACCCATGTGTTAGCCTGTTTATATGCAGCAGGTACTCCAGCTCTCACAGCTCTTTTCTAGTGAGTGTTTGTTAGCATGGAAGTTCATTTGCTTAAGAAACAAGAAGAGCCTTTTCTCTGCTTTCTCTCCAGTACTGTGTGTGCATGTGTTACGGTAGCTGGTATTGGAAAGATCTGCCAGAGCTAAAGGCTTATTTCACTGACAACTGTTAAAATAACCAAGCACTACTTGCTACAGAAATTCTTCTTCATCGTATTTTCTTTTCCACTCCCCCAAATATTTAAAATACCTTTGTATTTTAAATGAAGAGTTAGTCATTGCCCAAGTGCCAGGCATGCACTATTAATACACTATTGAAGTCAGGTTGTGCTCTTTCACTGAGTGAATACTTGCCAAAACTTGAAACAAGTTTCTGCAAGTGCTTGTGTTGGCCACTAAATCTTCCCTTGCCACAGATAGGCTTCTAGTCACTGCTGAGGACAGCAACAATGCGACTCTAAATGACATATTACCTAGACCACGTGTGGATAATGAATAACTAGCTATGAATAATATCATTAAGTAAGTCCAAAAAACCTGCATACAGTCCTTTGGAGGGAAAAGATGTTAGTGTATTTATCGTGCGTGTTCTGTATATGCTGTGAATCTATTTTGAGGACTGGCTTTGCTGGGGGCCAGAGCCTGGCCCCAGAACTGGCATGGAGCAACGAGCACTGTGATCCACTCTGTGTCCCCCAAATAGCTGATAAAGCTACCAGGATTTGTCCCAGAGTCAGGCTCAGACATGGCGACACTAATAGTTCCAAGTATGGTTTTTGTTTCCTAGAAGGGCTAGAAAATATGTGTATGTTCAGTCTTTTCTGCATCTGCAAACAGGAAATGTATCTAGAAGGCTTTTGGCCAAAAGCCCATACCTGCCCTCTCTTACTGTTCACTGCAGTGTTCCTGAATCTGTGCACAGCTCTGTGTCAGAGGAGGATTAGTTAATCTGGGATCACAGTGTTGTTCCAGCACTGGGAATGTCTCAGCTGCCTGATGGGCAGCTCTTTACAACTTCTGCACTTTACGGTACCATTTTGGAAGGTGAGAAGACTTATTTCAGATTATTGTGTTGTGCTGGCCTGGAAACCGCAGCATCTGAGCCCACGCTCTGCAGGGAGGGACCTTGTGGGAGGGAAAGCGTGGAAACCACTTAGAGTGGTCTCAGTGTCGTGGCTGGGGTTTGTGGGTGGCTCGTCCTGATGCTGAGGCACAGCGGCTCCCCACATGCGCTCGGAGGATCGGGGTTTTTCTGCACAGTGGCAAATGAGCAGTCGAGAGCAGTCGTACCCATACTGCTGTGTGTTGGACTTGGGTCACATTTTCAAATGTCCAGCAACTTATTTAAGTAATGACAAGTCTGGTACATCCAGTTTGGGAAACAAGTTCCTTTGCCTTGTTCAACCATTGTGGGAATTTAACTTTTTGATTTTTTTTTTCCCCTCTCTCTTTTTTTAAATTTTTAAAAAAAAGGAAACTGACTATCACACTTCAGTTCTAATTGGTTTGTGTTATGTTTGATTATAACCTCTTTTTTGAGCCCTCTCACCCAAGTACTTGTGTCTCTTCTTCCTTCCTGTTACCCACAAGCTTTTGCTTGGTTTTATAATACTGTTCAAAATAAAACTAATCTCGTCATACTGTGAAATAGTTTAATTCAAGGTAGACCCACGATGTGATGTATAAAAGTCTTATGTTACAAGTGCTGGATTTCACAGCTCTTCACCAGCTGTGCTACCAGCATAAATGAAGATTAAATTTTGTTTTGTCTTGTGGCTCAGAACTTCACAAACAAGATCTTTACACTTAAAAAAGGGAGCGGAGACTGAATTGGTCTCTCTAGGGTGAAGGGTAGTTTTAGAATGAAATTGAAGGATCATTGCAAACAGTGATGGTGAATTTATTTTTGCCTGCTTGCAGTAAGCTCTGTATCTGGTAACTTTTGCTAGATTCTCTTCTCCAACACCGCATCCTCTTAAAATTTCTGTAATTTTTGTAGGAAATTCTGCTGGACAGCTGTGCTTAGTAATTGCTGCAGGTAAACTGGAACAAATTAATTAATGGAATTCTCTCTTGTTTGTTTGTTTGTTCCTAGAATAATACTTTGATCTCATTGAATCTAATATGGTTTCTAGCTGCTGCTTCCTGTGGCTTACCAACCTGCATGAAAACTTTTAATGGGGGTGGGGAAGAAAGAATGTGGGTATAGCTACACTTTTAGGTTGTCTCTGGCCAAAGAAAGCTACAACTGGTGAGACTTTTTGTGATTTTTGTTTTACAAATGGAAACATGCTAACCTTTCTTGAATCCTCCACTAAGTGTTTGATACCATTGGGAATCATCTGGGTTTCAGTAGTTCTAGGGGAAGTAACGCTAGCTGCTGTTAGAGTTGACAGAAGCAATATCTTTTGTAAATAACATTACCACTGACCAAATAAACACATTTTCTGTTATTTTGCTTAATATGGAATGATACCAGTAATAATTGTGATATTGGTATTTTTGTTTTGTAATCTTGGCAGAGTGAGGGTAGCTTTGACCTGTTGCTGTGTCCTTTCAGTTTGCAGGCGGCAGTGGGTGCGTTCTGGTCCGTCAGTGAACAGCTGAGCTCCTGTGGGGCTGGTGATAGATAAGGGTTTTCTTTCTTCGAGAATTGTGTGCATGAGTCAATCCGAGAGAAGAAAGGGGAGGAATCAGTTCTTGCTGTCTTGATGTACAACCCCATGTAGGCACACCCCTAGAAAGAGTTTCTTGCTTTCAGCGCTGGATGAACAGTGACTCTCTCCCCTCTTTCTTTTAACTCCAGCAGAACTGTGAGGCAGAGTTTGGTATGATACCATGGAAGGGCAGCATAACCATCCACATCATCTAGGGGACCAGAACAACCCTCTTTGCAAGCTGCCAGGGCAGGAATACCAGCATGATCCTCAGGTAAGTGCATATGTCTCTAATCTTTCTCCTTCTGTGTTTTCTTCCCATCCTCTTATAAAGGTCTACAGATTTCTTAGCATTTAGCTTCCCCTGTGTCGTGTCCCCCCCCCCCCCCCCCCCCCGCCACTTTTGTTTATAGTGCAGTTATAGCAGTTTTAAGGTATATCCAGTTTGGGATTCTGCCAGCCAGCCAGAGTTTCCTGAATCCATTTTTTTGGTGATAATAAGAGAAAAGGGAAATAGTTTGAATTTTGCTTAAAGCAAGTATTTTTAAATAGTCTTATAAAAACATGTACTGTGTTGGCTTTCTGTTCTCTTTGATTCTTCGAAGAAAAGGCCAAAGAAAAGCAGTTGATTGTGTAAGTGAATAAATGTATTTTATCTCCTTTTAGAGTTTAATAATAAATGCTGAAGAGGTAATTACCAAATACAAGAAAAAGCTAATCCTACTTGAAACTGTAGGCTCTTTGTCATCATTTCCTCTGAGTCTCTGGAATTTCTCCCACAATGTATTTTGTATAGACTTGTTATCAAGTTTTGCTATAGCGGCTCATACCTCTATCTTTTTCATGCGTTTCTGCACAAGTGGGCTAAAACTAGGGTTAGAGCTGCATTCAGAGTAATGTTGATAACTTCACTGTAAACGTGAAACTTGTATTTTGTGAATGCTGGCTGCTTGCCTTTTTTAGACTGTTAGTCTGTTTATCAGAGCAATTAAGTTTTACCTATATGTATTTTAAGGAGTGAACGAAAAGCATCATGGAAAAGTTGTCAGAAAGAAGACTATTGCTTGGGGAGGGGGCTGTAGGTGTTAATTTGTCATTCTGAATGTGCAGTCCAGTGGTGATCCAGGTTACTTGAACAAGAAGTGGTTGTTAGGAGAGCTGTATCACAACACAGTGTAGGATTTGCAAAAGTGGTAAGTTGCCTACAGAGTACAACAATGAATGTATCTTACGCAGCACTGCTGGGAAAGTAACGTGGTATGGAGCAAAGCCCCCCTCTCCTAATGTAGCAATTTGTCATATTAAGTCATTTAATAATAATTGAATCCCCTTGATTAATCTCCTAGAATTAGCCAGTTGCATTTTGAGCAATTAGGGTTAATTACTGCCTCATTTGGCAGGATAGAGCCCCTGTAATTATTTCATGAACAAGATTAGGAAGTGTTCCTGTGCAGCAGATACCTTCATGGCATCTTGGAGCACATGTTAGAATTTGTAATGACATAGTTAAGTGTAATTAGTAGCTAATAATCTGTGTTCTGCTGTTATGCTGATGCTGAGTGGGCTCATTTTGCTGTATGGTCATTGTTCAGTGAAACCTCCCCTCAACTCTGTTAGTATCCAAGTTGTGTTAATGGAGGTCTCTGAGTATATTAACTGTTCTGAGAATGATCTAGTTTGGAATTAGGATTGCAGAAATACTTTATTTGGTTTTGCTGTTAAAATAGAATTTAAAAAAAAGCTGAATATCAAAAACACACAGTCTACCAGAGAATTGAAAAAATGCATCTCCTCAGCAAACTCAGTTTAGAAATTAATGAAAATTGTACTATTTAGGTGGCAGGCTACCTTACATTGATGGCATGATATGATTGCTTATTACGTATTTCTGATTTTCCATTTTGCAGGAACATAATTATAGATCACTTTCAATTTTCTGGTACATATTACCTGGAAGAATCAAAAATTACATAATTTCTTTCTTCTGAAGATACAAGTAATGCAGACATGCTATATAATAGCTTGTGGAAGAGAGAGGCTTGGGAAGGAAAAATTGGCCAAACTTGTCTTACAAGAAATGTCATGAATGGCAGGGACAAAAGCTTAATCGGAAAAAACAGAACTTGAGCTTTTAGAGTCTTGGATGAGGATCGGTTTTTGTATGGAATGACCCTCTTCCTTCTAGCCCTTTCATTCAAAACTACTGTGTCACCCCCAGAAAGACCAGAGCAACAGTGTGCTCCTCTAGTAGAAACTTTTCCTATAATTATGCTACTTCCTAAAGCTTTTTTTTTTTTTCATTCTGACAGAGGTGTTATTTCTGTTTTATAACTACTTAGTACAGAGCTATAAGTAAGTGTATCAGACTTTTCTTCCTGTCTTTAACTACTACAGTTTAGTAATAAGATGACACTTTTGAGTAATGCTTCATATTTAGAAGTTTCCTAGGGTAAGTGAATATATAAATATAAAGAAGTCCCAATAAAATCATAGTTTTAGCTTCTGGCTCCCTTGCCTGTCCAGCATTACCCTGATGAAGTTCATCAGCAAGAGGCAGAACATTTTCCAGTAATTTTCCAGAGTGAAAGTGTCAATTATTTAAGTCTCTGGATTACTTAGTGTTCATAGCAGTAAGCAATAAATGTTATTTAGGAGTATATCAGTGATATAAAAATATGGAGCTGTAATTTTTGACTTGATTTTTGTACTAAATAAACACTAACTCACTTTTAAACAACCCTTTTATATACTCACACAGCAGCAGAGCTGTTCATGGCAGTTTCATTTTGGTCTGTGAATTGAAGGTAGATTTGAACTTATCATCTAGCAGCAAAGACTTCAATTTATTGTTTTCTGAAATGCTTAGATTATTTCTATGTTAATATTAATTTCTTTGTGAATATCACCTTGGTCTACTATTTTCAAGCTGGTATTTCTCTCTTTCCTTGTCATAAACTAGTACAAATACCTGCTGATAGGGATGTTAAAACTTTGAAATTCAAGCCAAGTTCTTCAGCAAACTTTAAATTCTAAGTAACAGGTCGGGTTTAGGATATTTTATGATGACTGTGTAGTCTAGTTTTGAAGCTGCAAATTGAAAAACCTGATGTATTCTTCAATAATTACTTGACTACCTGTTTGAAGGATAATCCATATTTTAGAAGTTTCCTTTCTCTTCTGAGCTTAGAAGTTCTTTTTTTAATCAATCTGTTCTAATGTGTTCCCATAAATTCACACTGGAATTTCAGACTCAAAGTATGCAGAATTCTTTTCAGGTAGGCATTATAGAATGGAGATGGGTGTATAATTTGGGACATCATAAAGAGGTTTGAAACACTGATGTTGATAGTAAATCATTGCTTATAATGTATACGTGTTCAACTGGAGGGGCTGAAGCTTCCCCATCTACTATCACAGATGTCTTTTAAAGGTGAAATTAGTTTATGGTAAATGTCATTCAGATGAAGTATGCACTTTAGAAGCAAGGAAACCATTCCTTTAAAATTAATGATGCATTGCAAATATCAGAAAAAACCTTATATCCAGCATAAAGATAATTAAAATTCAGGTCAGAAGTGTATGACTTAGTCAGGCTAAATTTTTTAATGAGATTTCAGAAAATTAATTGGCCGAGTATGTTTTTACTCTTCTAAGGAATATTTCATTTCATGGCTCTACAGGAAAGATGCTTTTATTGGCATCTGAAGATTGTAGTGTCTTGACTTTTTAACTGTTGGTTAACCAATCTTTAAGAATTTTTAGGCTGATTACAAATAATCTAAATGTCTTGTAACCTTGTAGCCATTTGTGCAGACTGATGACTAGTGCTGGTTTTCCACATGCCAATCAGGCAGCAGTAAAACAACTGACTCTATTATTAATTAACATTAGCACTCTGGGTTCATATATTGTGCAATTAGCAGTGAACACTTATCTTTTTTCAGCTCATTTAGGCTTATTTTTTTCCGTGCCTCTGGGAGAAGTAGTCATACAGGCATTGCTCTGCAGCATGTTGGTATTTTACTGATATTTTTGTCTTCAGTCTCTCAGTACTCTCGTTTGCCTGAAACATTGGGTTAGAGGCTGCAGGAAAGGCTGCTTGGACAGTTTTCTCAGGACTGTTTCAGTTTTTCCCCAGCTCTTAAATAATTACAAAGAGGTGAATTTATTGGTCAAACATGAATTGTTCTGGACATTGAAAGTCTTCCTACAGAACAGTTTTTTCTTACTCCTCCTTATCCCAAAATACAAATTCTGAGCTGTACAACTACTCATTTAAAAAAAATACAAAAAAATGCATTTGGGTTATGTAGCTGTCCTACCTGCATATGGTTATAGCAGTGTATGAAGGATTTGGAAGAAATTGTACCAAATCTCCAGTTGTAAATTTTGGCATGTTTGTATTCTTGCATGCTCAGAGTTGCCTGTGGTCAAGCACCTCTGGTAGCACTGTAATGGACATCCCTGAAAATGTGGAAGTGTAAGTAGAAACTACATTCTATCACCAAGGAGCAAGGAACTTCTCTAATACTGTCATCCCTGTATTTGCCTGGGTTGCTTTATAATCTGGTATATAGGAACTCCTTTTAATCTTTAAGTTTCTTATCCTTGCAGCATACCTGTTCAGGTGCATACAAAATAATATAACTGCAGTTTTTATTTCACTGGATTTTTGTAGTATTACAAAACCTTACTAATGCTGTTTTGCAGAAAATCTTGGAACACCTCAAAATTTGAGGCTGAAAGTTCTGGCAAACTTCTCCCTTCAGTATTGTGATGAGGGCTGTTGTCGCATACTTTGCTTTGAAATTTTTGCTTTTGCATCAGTGATTACATCTAAAAGAGAACATGTATGCCAGAGATGTCCAGAATAGCTTGTTCTTGGAATAATCTCTGCATTTCTTCTTAAAAATGAATAGCCTCTTTATTTGAATGAGGAAGTAATTGACTTTAATCTTTGGGGGGTGGTGGTGGTGGTTTTTTTTTTAATGGAGTAGTAGAAGAATGAGACTTCATTGTGTGGATGAAGAGAACAGCCTTTGTCTCAAAACTAGTTCTTCCCCAGACTGTCCCCTTCTTACAGCTGCCCTTGGAACAGAAATGTGCAAACTGCCCAATTTTCACAGTGTCTTCAGAGGTCCAGCCGGTTGAAGGGTTTTTTTGGTTGGTTGATTTGTTTTTTTCCTCCCTTTTTTTCCTTTTCATTTGTTTTTTTTTAATTCAGGCTCCATCATTGACCTTGAAACCTGTTCTGCAGAGATGGTGGCTTGGTTTTACTGTGTTCAAGCAGACCTGAACTCTGCACTGAGCCTGAATCTATCCTGAAAATAAGAAAATCTATTTTTGTTGAACAGGTTTGAAGATGATGATGGTATCTAATTTTACACACAGTTTATATCTGTATATGAAAACTCTGAGATTTGCAAAAATAAAGGTCATGGTTTATTTGAATGGATAGGTTCTTTGACAGCTTTATGAAAAATTGTAGTGGTTAAACATAGAAGGACTTGGAAAAAAATGGAGCTGTTCTTGTCAGGAGTCATGAAATAAGTGAAATGTATGCAAGGCCAGACTATAGGGATGGTATTCTGAGGAGGTAGATATTTCTTAGGTATCCTAAATGTGTCCTTGTAACAGTATTTAGAAGAGTTACCTGCTTACGTTTAAGTACAATAAAGCATAAGAGAAGGTTAATTTTTAAACAGACGTATGGGAAAATGGGACTGCCGTAATCAATAGGGAGCTTTCTGGTATGGTTTGGTCTAACCTGAGCATGCTCTTTGGTTTATACCATAATCAAACATCTTCTAGCCTGTATGAAAGCTCCATTACTTTAATTAGGTCTGATAGGTTGTGATAGCAAATGCAAATCTAGGTCATTGCATATGTAAATGTGCAGCTGTAGTCCTGGAGGATGCCAGAACATATCAGCTAAGGTGTCCAGTCATCACCCAGCATTAACTCCAGCATGGCAAGCAGACTTTATGTGCTAACCATGTGAAAGTGGTTAGGACACACACATACACCCTGTCACTTGCCTAACATTTATTTATATTTTCAAGTTAAGAAGTTGCTAGATATTTCTTGGCACATGCTTAAAATATTAATTTATGCTTAAAAACTCTTAGTTTAAACACACAATTTAATGATTTATAAAGGGCAAAAGGATACCATCCTTGATTGCAGCATGGATTTCTTCCTTAAAAAAAAAAAAAGTTTTGTGATAGTTGCTTCATAAAATCTCGTTAAAACTGCTACCTCTATTGTGAATGTTAACCCCCAGTTAGAGAAGCTTTTGCTTCTTACTACTCAGGAAGAGCTTGGATCAGGAGGCACATGTTCACAGTTAAGGAAATGCTTTGATTCCTTTCTATTTTTTAATTAGGAAAAAAGTGTTCTGTAATTTTATATACTGACACCTGTGTTTGGCTGGGTAAAGTGATTTGACTGGACAGCTCAATTAATTTGCTTAGTAGCTCATATGCAAAAAAGTCTGGAAATGGAGGTGTTCCTGGTTAGTTACCAGTCAAGTTGAACAAATGCTTGTGTTCAGACATCCTTCTGGTGATTTCGTCACACAAAAAATGCACATAAACTAATGTTTTGTTAGCACTCCCTGGAATGAGATGAGTATTCTTGTATTACTGTAATGTATATTGATGAGTATTACTGTTTATCAAATCCCTGCAAAGAGAGATTGCAACCAATTTAAACTGAGAAAGCTGCAGGGGCTCATTACTTTGAATATTTGCTTGTCTGGTTTCATCCCATGTTGCCTTACTTTGTTGATAATTTAGTAACTTAAAGGGGAATGTATGTAAATAATAGAGCAGTGTTATCTTACCACTCTGCTCTTTATCTGATGACCCATAGACTACCTTTTTCCTCATCGGTGAAAGGATACTCCCATTTTATTGTATAGTATACATGGCAGAACTTAGAGAAATGAATTCTGAATCTTAATTTTCATTTTTGTTTTGCTGTTATAGCTGGTAAACTCAGTATAACTTCAAGCACAACACAAGTACTGAGAGTAACCTTCCTTTGCTTACAAACATAAACTTTGATTGCAGCTGATAGTGGGGCTTCTTTCAGAGTGTAGGGGAGACTAAAGTGATCTTAAAAGGGAAACACTCCCTGAACTGTTTAAAGGAAATACTTGCTGAAATTACCTTCCTGTTTCTGTGTGACTCACCTTCATGAATAACTGCAAATTCTAAAGAAGCCTTCTTATTTGTGTAGGTTATTGTTCATGAATTAAAATTTTTATTGTGTTGCCTTTAGCCTAGAGAAATGAAAACCATTTCTCATAGTATGAGAAGATATAAATGCTCACGATGATCGATGGAAAAACTTACCTGTGGCCTTGGCATTTCAAAAATAATTACTCGAAGTGTCGTTTCATCTGAAAAGGAGTGGGTTTGCTCTTTTAGGGAACTTAAACTGACAAAGCTGATGATCATGATGGCCTGGAGTTAAATTTCCAACTGGAAAGTGCCTACTTGAATTAGCAGGCATTGGCTGGACATTATGGTATTGCATTTTTGTCTTCTCTGGAGTCCATAACTGTCTAAGCTTTTCAGTTTAGCAACAGTCCTCTCTTTTCATAACTGCAGAGCCTTATCCTCAGTAAGTTCTCAACGGCTGACGCAGGGCAGTGGTGTGGAAGTGCAGGGCAAGCTCCAGCAGCAAACAGCCTTTCAGTGCCAGAGAGATGAGGGGGAAGATGACAGCAGAAAGACCTGATAGTCTTTTCACTGTCTGGTTTGTGATTTATATCTGCATCTCTGTATCATCAGCATTTATAAAACATAATCGTTTTTCTTGAGTACGCCTGCAGTAGAGTAGCTTTCGTTGTGGGGATTTTTCCTGCGTTTGTTGTGATAAAGATGCTGTAAAGGTGACAGTTTGCAAAATAGCTTGTCTTGGTTGATCGAAGCAGTTTGTGGGTCAGAAATTACTATTTAGGGGACTTTATTGGTGAGTTTACTTAAAACCATGTCATTAAAAACATTAAATTGTATAACTTCATTTACAAAACCTCTGCCAAATAACTCTGATTGTAGTTCAGAGCTGCACGGACATCTTGAAATCTGGAAGCTTTTTCAAATATCTGGTTGATACTTTTTATTGTTTGTTGAATAGTAGTGGCTTTTCTTTCTGTTGCAAAGAAAAGAAGTCCAAACTTATTTACTCATCAAAATAAATATATACTTTAAGAGGTCCTCACACTGTCTTGTATGTAGTGCTGGCAAAAGGTGCTGGACTGAAAGCTTTACCTGCATTTTAAATCTTACTTCCAGCCCCACCCCTCTGTGAGGAAATGACAGTGGTAGCAATAGTCATCTCCTTAAAACATCCAGCCCTCTGGGCCTGCTCTCCCCGGACACCCTGGACTGGGCTGGGATTCTCTGCTAAAGATTGGGCTGCAAACGACGGCTGCGTCCCTGGGAAGCCCTCCCCCCCCAACTTCTGTTGTGTACTTGTCGTCTTGTGGTTTTCAATGGGAACTCTGAAATGGCTCAAGATGCTGAAACTTAAAAATATTCTACTTGGCATGCATGGCAACTTAAAGTAATTAATTTTCATAATTTCTTTTTTAAACATTGGTTAGCAGTCATGTTAATTATAGAAGACACTAGAGTGGCTCTAGGGAGCAATTCCTAGTCCATGGAATACACAATCCTCGTTACGCTGTATGTACCTGCCTGGCTGGGTATTTACCTGAGAACGCGCAGAAGTAGGCATCATCCTCTCTCTCCCAAGTGACACAAGCAGGCAAAGTTGATGAGAGGGTGTGTAACTAGGGAGACAGTAGTTTGGGACTAATTAGTTATTCAAACAGAAGGCAAGACTTTATTTCCTTTTTAAAAACATCATTTAACTTCATTCAGCCTACATTATTAATACATTACTAGGAATTAATGCGTTTATGGTCAGAATTATCTATAGACTGATCAGCCTAGATTAAATTCTTGACCATCAGCAATGAGAGCAAGAGGGTGTGCGCATCTGGCAATCTTAACTCTGTTCTGTACATTTTTGGTAGCTGTTACTGGTTTTATGCTTTCGTGCAGTTAATATTTTTACACAAATCTCTCCTGTTACGTGTGTGTGTGCTTGTGGTTGTATGCTGTGCTTTTATATCGCAACTGCTGTGGTACAGTATTGTCTGAAGTGGACAAAGAAAATCAAAGGTGGGAAAGGAAAGCCAGACCACTCCATTGTCCATTGTACACCGAATCAACACCAAACTTATTTGTCTCTCTTGCTGGTCAGTCCTTACTGTGAGGAATTTATCCTGCTGAATATGATTAGTCATAGAAACCGCTAGTTTGCAGTCATAAAGAAGACAGATTGGGAATGCAAATTCATGTTTTTGCATCGCTTCTGGTAGTTCATTGATTTCATTTCTTTTGACTTGAACAGAGACATTTAACGTCGTACCCATATCGCTGCACATTGGCAGATTTTCAGATAGAGAAAAAGATTGGACGAGGACAGTTCAGCGAAGTTTACAAAGCAACTTGTCTTCTGGACAGAAAACCTGTGGCATTAAAGAAAGTTCAGGTGAGCATTTAAGTTCAAAGTCTTACTATTTAGCAAGTAGAACGCAAATATTTTAAGCATCTACACAGATTACTTTGAGTCAGATACCTTTTTTAGTATTCTTTTGTCAGCAGTCATAATGCAATAAAATGCTTTATAAATAGAGAGTTTAAGGTTTGAGAGCACTGGATGATCTGGCTTGGTATTTTTACAATAGAAAAACCCCAATGCTACTTTCTTATTTTATTCAGTTGGGTTTTGGAGTTTTTTTTGGGGGGGGGGGGGGGTTGGTGTTGGGGTTGGTTTTTTTGGTTGTGTGGGTTTTTTTGGGGGGGGGTTTGTTTGTTTGTTTTTATTTTATTTCAAGATAAGGACTATAAAACAATGCTTCTGAAGGTCTCAAAGGAGTTTTACAAATACTGATTAAGTCAGGTTAGTTTCACAGTGCTCAGTTTACATCTGGATATAAGAGGCCAGGCAGCCCCACTGGGATTCTGCCTGCCCCTCTGCTGTATCCTCTGTGGCTGTCTTCTCCGTATAGCCTGCATAGCCTATATGGGACCCTATTTCCATTTTGAGCGGTCTGTTTGCGCTGTGTGGTCTCTATCCCTTGTCATCTTGGAGTGGGTTTATGTTTCTAAATCAGAATTATGTAGCAGTAGTGCAATTTCGTATTTTTTTTTTTATTTCACTTTTTACTTTATAAAAAGATTCACTAAATTTTAAGTAAATGTGTGTGAAAGAGCGAGGCCCTAACGGCCATATTTATGCAGCTATGAGACTGCTATCTCGGCACAGATGAATCGTGGGAACACAAGGGCACAAAAGGGAAAAATGCCTGTGCTTTCTGATGGAGTTTCAAAAGAATTTCTGAAAAACTTTTCATGCAAGCAGTATACATTGTAACTTGGCTTAAAGTCTTGTGCAGTGTTCAGAACAGCATTTTGTTTGAAGAAATTTCCCTTTAATCCTTCAACAGATCCTTTAAACTCTTGTTTCTGGTGACTTACTCTCTGATTATTACAGAATGAATATTAATGCTCAATATTGTTGTTAATTATTACAGAGAAATCGGTGGAAACTATCTCTCTGTTTAAAAGAAAAACTAAACATTTAATCTTTTATTTACCATGTGAAATTAATAGTAACTGAACTAACTGTTTTGGAAATCACGACAGTAAATTCACAAACCTGGTATCTTATTTTTTGTGCTGCTTAGAATATTGCCTACAGGTTCTAAAATTAATTTTACCCTATCGCTAGCCCTTTAGTGGTGTCAAAATAAAGAAAACATTGATCTTTCTTTGATCTCAGGATTGTGTGAATACTCATTACAGCAGAGGATATACAAACTGGGGGAGGAAAAAACAATTTCTTGTTAAAATAAAAAATTCTTTCTTTGTTGTTTCATTTTCATCTTCTGTGGTTTTGTCTTTGAAGATTTTTGAAATGATGGATGCCAAGGCTAGGCAAGATTGCATTAAAGAAATTGACCTCTTGAAGGTAAGAATTCTTACAATTACTTTTTCTGGTTTTTGTTTTGAGAAGAAGATTGTTTTCAGGTTGGCAACACTCATTTGCCCTTTATGGCAAATAAAGCTTATATAGCACACACAGTGATATTAATAGACCATGCTTTCTTTTGCAAGCTAGGATGCCTACATGATGCAAGAATTTTGTCTTAAACTTTAATTTTATTGAGTTTTCTGCCTATAGTCTGAAGAATCTATTAACAACCTTTGTCGTAAAAAAAACGCACAAGTACTCCTCTTTCAGAGAGACATGTAAATTCTGCGCTTTATGTGTTTCAATTTGTTTGTCACTTTAAAATAAACTATTTAATGAACTAGCTAAATGGGAAAAGTTTTGCATGTGCATATCATGTATGTATATGTATACACATCACACATGAAAAATGGTAGTTTAGATAAAGGCTCTGAAACTAGAGAGTGTTTTTTAAGTGATTAAACAAACCAGTGATTTTTTTTTTCATCTCAGTAATTTATTAAGAATGTTGGTAGAAAATATATATGCTTTGCACTTTAAATATCTATTTTGAGTAAATGCAACAGATTGTAAGAGGCTAAAATTTTAGTTTAGCTAGTCAAATTTAATTCTAAAAGTATTAAGTAATTAATTTTGTAAATGTGATTTTAGGTATTTCTATTTAAATTGTCAATTTATATTCACACAGTTGTAGACAAAGCTTGAGTCTGCTAGACTGTGGTGAAGGCATACAGGATAAACATGAAGATAGCAGTTTGTGTGAATGTGATCCAGTTGCTTAACAGTCATGGAGAAAAATAATGCCAACATTACCTATAACCCAAAAATATCACAAATTCTTTTTGAATGTTAATCTAAACAGTTTTGTCTTGAACTCTGGTTATAGAAGATGTCATGAACTTGCACTTGCTTTATTCAGAGCAGAACGTGCAAATTCATTAGAATCAGAGGAAACTGAAAATAAAATACCCACAATGACAGGAGGCTCTATAAGGTCAACTCCCATCCACCTGTGTGGGATGACCAGAGGCAACTTACCTTCTTGAGCAAAGCTCACCAAGAAGCCAGATACCAAACCAGATTTACTGTAGTGGCTGAGTTGTGAAAGCGAGTACGATATACTGAGCTACAAGGGGCTTCCCTATCCGCTGCTGAAGTAATTTAAATTATATCTTGCTCTCCCCACTCGAATACCATCACCAAAGCTGTTTAGTCAAGCTGTGGCAGTATTGGAAGGCTGATTCATCTCCTTTTGAAGTCAAAAGCTGTTCTATCTGTCTCTGAGCCAATGTATTTAAGTTAAAAACCTCTGTTTGTCCAGAATTAAGCAATATCTGTGCATATTCTGAAGTCTTCGGTGGTTGTCTTCTGAGCAGAGTGGCGTGTTTACTATGCTTACAACTTCTTGTTTGTGATTTTTTTTTTTAAATAGTAGCCAGAGCTCTGTGGAGGGATGGAGTTTCCATTATCCCAGCAGAGTGCAGTTCTGCTTTGAAAAATACCGGTTGATAAAATCGGATTGTTTTGCGTAATATTTTATAGAAGACTAGAAAACATTCCAGTAAATTCATTTACTTGGGGGTGAAGGGAGGAGCAAGAATAGTTGCTGACAGTCTACAGAAACATGCTAATATGCTGTTTATTATGCAAAGCATTACTGTGCTGGTATTTTAATTATTATTTATTGTTGAATGTCAACAAATCTTCCTACTTGGACAGTTGCGTAGCACCATTCAAGGAATCTGAAGTTCGTGTATGTTAAACAGTCAGTTTGAATCCTGTTGTATTACAGATGCAAAGGGGATATTGTTCTTAATATTGCCTATAGTTTCCTTCCTTCAAATGACTACTAGTTTTCAACTCGGAGTCAACAAACCCCACTGAATTTTATCCAAGATGCATGTAGCTCAGCTTCTGAGAAGATCAGCAGCTAATAAGTAAAAAGTAATCAAAGTTGAAGTTACCAGTTTTGGAGCCATGTTGATGATGATGTTCTGGTCAGCGTGTTCGCTAACCCGGTGCAGGCGCAGGCTGTTCCCCGCTGGCAGCCGGGCAGAGTTCCTCAGGGTTTGTCTGCAGGCAGGGGAGGGTTGGTGTGTCAGCATCAGCAGCTGGACTGCATGTCACTCCGTGCCCTGAGATGAATAATTGACTGGATCAATATATCTGCAACTCATCTTTTTTTTTGCTCATTGATCACTCCTATGCTGCCTGTTCTCACAGCTTCACAGAAATAACCAAAGGTCTGTATGTGGATGTGCTGGGACAGTTGTGAAAAATCGTATTTCAAAACTTCAGAGCTGCTTTATCTGAGTAGGACACAGGTCCCTTCTCAGGGCTGGGCAGTAGATGTTACTATTTATGCAGCATGGGGCAGAATATTCTGTGCCTGGAAGTAGGAAAAAGTTTAAAAAGTGAGACTTCAGTTCTTGTTGCAGAGTATGCATGATCTGCAGCCTGGCTTTTTATGAATTTTTGTGGGGTTTCTTGTTATGTTGTGAGCTTTTCACATTTTGGTTTCCTTTAGAGCAGTGTGTGCGCAGCTTCAGCAAAGTAGGACAAGTATATTTTTCTCAAATGAATGACTTACTCTCAATAATTTTAATTGCAGCATTTTTAGTGTCATTACATTTAAAGATAAAATACATTTCACTTCTTAAATTTATCAATTAAGATAGTTGTTTTTGTGTCTAGAAAGTGTAAAGTGTGCAAGGACCTGATTCAGCACAGTATCTCAGAGTGTGTTTAAATCTTGCTCAACTTCTTTTTCATCACTCTGATGTGAAGTACGTGTCTGCCTTGCAATTGTCTAGTTTCTGGCCATGTAATTGGGATATTAATATTTTAAAAACTTTTTTTGCTACTTTTAAATTCTGGTGTCTAATATGAAGTATTTATAGGCTATTACTAAAACAACTTTCTGTAAGAGCTTTTATTTCTTTTTTGTTTTTATTTTTAATGTAGACCATTGAGGAATTTGTGAAGGAATTACATAGACTTGCTGTAGTCCATCTCTGTCAAAGTAATACTTTGTCTTTTTTGATCAGACTTCTATGTGACCATGGAAACAAAGGGGGTTTTGTGATTTGTAAATGAAAGATAATTATTCAAAATTTAACAGAAGCCAGACAAAATTGTGTATTACTTTCAGCGTAATTCTGGCTAAAAGCTTTAGGTAAAGCAGCTCAGTAATATGGCTGTAATCAGCGTTTGGGCTGCCAGCACCCTCACTCGCTCATTTAGAGGTGGTGTACCCTTCCACATGCCTCTCGCTGACAGTGCTGCTGTGCATACACATCAGGCATTAACTGCCATCATACTTTTAGGATGCGTTAAAGAAACAGGAAATGCCATTAACCCAAGATAAAGTGTTTGTAATGTTTTGTGCATTTAAGGATTTGTGAGAAGGAATATACTTTACTTCTGACAAAAGAAAATTCAGGTAGCCTTTTCCATGCCACATGAATATACAATAGTTTATAAAAAAACCCCCAGAGTCAATATATTTATTTAAAATAACTTTGACAAAAGTAAGACTGGAGAATGGAAGTTTGGCTTATCCAGAGTGGTTTGCCTGGCTGTTCTGGGAATACAGAGTTCAAAGGTCAGTGAATTGTTGTAAAAATGTATACTTCTGCATTCACACCTCTGAAAGGTCGTGGGCAGTCTCGTTTTCCAGCAGAGAAGAGAGTCTAGTAAGGCTCCTTCTAGAGCGCTCATCCCTCTGCTTAGCTTCAGCAGAGGATGGTGTCGGCTTCTGCTGCTGGAAGGGGGGTCCCCGGCGATCTGCTCACCAGAACAGCTACCAGAGAAGTTAGCATGGTGGCATGCTATCATTAAAAAAATGTGTGCAGTCTCACAAAAAAAGGTATTTAAATTCTTTATATCAGTTAATAGTGCTTGGGTCCGAGTAAGTTGGGCTTTGTTATACACAAGAAACTAAGTAAAAGCTGGGGTGCAGGGCAGGGAAAATGTCAGCGTAGTAGCTCTCCCAACCATGTGTGGTCTTCATTCCCTGTTACGGTTGTACTGTTTTGATGTTTTGCTTTTATTGGTGCTAAGGCTTAGAAAAAGGCTTGTTTCACTGCTTGAACTCCCTGATGCCTTCAGGAACTCAGGAGAGAGTTCTCATCAGAGCATCCTAAAAGAGGACAGAAAACATCTCTTAAATCATAGACTTAACTGTATCTACAAGAGCAGTATGCAGCACCCAGGTATGGGGTCTGCCGTGATAGACAGTGCCTGTGATGATGGCGGGGGGAGACACCCGGATGTGCATTAGGTGTCAGGGGCTATTCTGCTTGTGATTTTGGTGCTTTTTTTGCTGGAAGTTGATCTGTGATCGATGTGCCCGAGAGCAGACATTTAAAAAGAAATTTCAACAGAAATGGTGGGCTATGATATTTATTTATTTATTTAAGACTTGGGCTGTGGGAATGTTCTTCTCCTGATGCCTGCACATGGATCCCATTAACGCTAATGTGTGCTAGTGTCAAGGCATTGCAAAGGAGAATCTATCCCCTGATGTGCATGCAGAGAGGAGTGATTAGCGTGATGGATCATAACAGTGTTTCTTTTGGCTTTGTAACCCCTGGAATAGACAGGTTGAGTCACAGCTGTTTAGTAGATGAAATGCTCACTTTAGTAGTTTCTAAATTTACTGCGTTTCTAAGAGCACAAGAGAAAGATAATCTAAAGCAAAATGAGCAAGAGAGAGTGAATAGAGATCTCTAGATACTACATTATCTTCTAAGCAATTATAGTTTTCTACTTCAAGAAATTCAGACTTAAAATATTAAAACAGAAATTTTAATTTGTTGAGCCTGTTTCTTAATTTAGCCCTGTGAGTGAAGTGCATCTGAGAAGATGCAATTTTTAAAGAAACAATGAAGGAAAAAAATTTAATATCTGTTGTGAATATAAGAAGCAGCTATACTGAAATAAAAAAGTAATTAGTGAAGATGCAACCAGAAAAATAAACTGACATGTGCAATTTGTGCAGTATTTTCCTCTATCAAAGTTTTAATGTAAATTGTGTTCTTCTAAGGGTCAAAGACATCTCAAGGAGTACTGTACTCAACAGTTGGGTTTTTTGTTTATATTTAATGGGGAAAAAACCCACCGGTTATTGCTTAACAAGACTTCCTTCAGGACATTGCTTTTAAATATTTTGTGAGTTTACAGTAGAAAAGTTTGCTTCACACTATTTTGGGCCGTATTGCTCTTTACTCGAGACACTTTTATTTTGCTGTGCTTGCGATAAATGGTATTTCTTACGGGATTTTTGTCTATAGTAATTCAGAGCACAGTTTGTAGTTGCACCTATTGTGAACTGTTCTGCAAAACATTTACTAAAGCAGTACAGGTATTGTATCTTGGAGTTGTCATTACTACTGCATTACAAGTTTTCTTCTTGCATTCCCTCTATCTGCAGCAACTGAACCACCCCAATATAATTAAGTATTTGGATTCTTTTATTGAAGATAATGAGCTTAACATTGTCCTGGAGCTGGCCGATGCTGGTGATCTCTCTCAGATGATTAAGGTAAAGATGTGTCAGTTTTAGAGGTGCTACAAACTTTCACCTTTAGGCAGAGACAGGAGGTGGTGGGGGTAAGCACATCTGTGCTAGAAGCACTTTTACTCTCTTCTTGCAGTTTTGCACACCCACAAGGTGCTTCCAGGCCTACGCCAGGCTATGCTGCTTGCTTCTGGTCGCTGCTTCGGAAGGGAGCAAGCCGCTGTATGATTTGGTGGGATGTATGTGTTATTTGCAAGGTTGATATATCCAGTCTGTGATTGATGAGGACGTTTAATTATTGTTAGATTCACTATTCACATAGCCTGTCTGCCATTCTGAAGACATTCAAGAAAGTGTATTGACTTTCTTTGCAATGGGGATTTGGGTTTGAGAAAATGTTTCAAGTACTTGTTCTTCTTTTATGTTGCTCTTAGGAATACTTGTATTGCTGCAAACCAGCTTTAGTTAAGCTGTTACCACCTGCTTTTGTATTTTCTTTGACATGTTAATCTTTAGACATACATCCCTTGTGAGAACAGATGTGTTATATCATGTTTGTTAGCACTCTCAACCTTCTCTCCATGTTTTACCTGATTTTTGCCATCATTATTCTGTAATTATCATAAATGAATGTTTGGAAAGTTCTCCTCCTTGTTTTCACAGTTAAAATATCTTATTAACAGATTTGTTTTCTTTGCCAGCAGAGCTATGAGGCACTAGGCCAAAGGCTGTCAAACAAGTTATCCATTTAGTCCATAGTCAATGGCTAAATTTACAGTATCCATGAAAATCTGCTCCATCTCACAGAAGAGTCCCCCTGGGCTAGCGAGCTGGGAGCAGGCAGTTGGCAGAGCCTTTCCTGGGGAGAGCCCCAGAATTCCAGATATGGCCTTACTCCACAGCCGCTCAATACCAGGAGCGGTGGTCAGATCTGCCCCGAACCCGAGGGACGAGCCGGCAGTGACTGAAGCCGCACGTGTGGGCTGGTGCTGCCGCGTCGAGTGTGCGGTGACTTGCGCCAAAGGCGGCCACCTCCTGCAGCCACGGGCATCAGAGTCCTGGTTGTGCTCGCTGAGGGCTGTGGAGACAGAGCTTTTCCTTCTGCCGGGGGAGAGCTCACGTGTGTTTTTATCTTTCACTGTTTTCTTGTGGCTTCTTTTATGTTTTACCCTTTTCCCAACAGGTCCTGGGAAACTTGCAGTTTATCTCAGGCTTTTTGTAGTTGTGGATAAAGATGGAAAAAAAAGTGAGGACTATGAGAGCAGGAGTTAGGGTTGTGATCATCCTGGAGTGTGCAAGTGCTTTACTTGAGTTTTACATCTTAGCTTATAAAAAGTTTTACCGACATAATTGTGAGATATCATCGTATAAAATATTTGCATTTTTTTGTCATCTACAGTTTTCAGTTTAAAACATTACCTACTGATAAATATGTTCATTTATCTGTCAGGGTTGGTTATTTAATTTTTTAAAATTACTTTTTATGTCATTATAGATAGGAGTAACATTTTCCAAAACATAATTTGTAGAATCTTAGGTTGATAACTTGGAACAGAACTGTAACTTGCGTTCTTTCTGCCAGTGCTCCACAGTCTGATCTGTTTTCCCACATGTTTATCACAGGCACGAAGAAGATGCACTAGGTTTTTTCAAGGTCATATAAATGATGTTTTTCCATTGGTGCAAATCTTGGAATTCCTTTTTTTTTTTTTTTTTTTTTTAAAATAGAGGGGAAAAAACCCTAAACCCAAGAGGGAACAAAAGTCTCCTCCTAAATATAGCTTTAACTGCAGAAGTGGAGTTTGCCTGCCTGCCTCCGTGTCACCCCCACGTCCCATCCGTCCCTTGGGAATTTAAGCTTATGTGAGGATTTTCAGTTTCGGCAAGGCGGTAGGAACAGCAGTAACAACACTCTGAAGGTGCGAGAGTGATAAAAACAGGGACTGTCTTTGTCACGCCCCTGGTGCCTGCATTATTTATGAGGTATTGTAAAGCTGATGTAAGAGAGTGCTGCAGGATAACCCACTGGAGAGTTGGGACTTTCTTGTAAATGTCAGGCGAACCTTATTGGACATGACATTTAGAAAATTATCACTTGTGGTCTTGCATATCCACTCTTTAAATACTTTAATGAGAATTAAATAATTTTATCGTGTATATAACACTTTATCCCTCACCCTCTGTAATTCCTCTGTGCTCTCTATCAAGTTTTGGTTTGAAACTGTTGCAATCTGTCAGATTTGCTGCCTGGGGAATTGCACGGTCATGCCCCTTCACAGCTGATCTGCAAAAGAAAATTTGCCATTACTTGAGTCAAACACGAACCAGTAACAGCATTTCACATAAAATATAAAATGTGACAACGGACATCAGATGTCTACAGAGAGGAAAAAGCACAAGATGCAGAAAGGGGCAACAACCAATTCCCTTCCTTTATTCTTGCTTTTGCGTGCTGCTGATGGAAATTCTCAAGGGTACGATGCAGAAGAAATGCAGTCGTAGTGTGCTAGAAAAGGTGTACAGTGTTTCAGAGGTAGTCGTTACCCAATGACACTTTGTATATCAAAGGATGAGGATAAATCTTAAACCTTTGGAAGTGTATTATAAGTGTATTTTGTTAATGCTCTGAACAAAGAACTGGCTCAGTATCTAGCACAGGAAGAAGCAATGAGAAGTCAGGGACCAATAATCTGAAGTAGTGCAATTTTGGGATGCCTTGGGAGAAGGCGGTCACACTTTGTGTGTGATGTACACGGCTGTTGTGCATTTCTGAAATGGAAAAAGAGTAGTTGAAGATGCATAATGTTTAGCCTTCACTGAAGTGTGCAGGTGGTTATTTATTCCTGTACTAAGTTGCTTGGGAAGAAGACTTAAGTATTCCAGAGAACCATCACTGTGCTGCACTCCTTCATACAGTGTGCGTTCTGCTTACAATTATTTTATTTGAGAGCTACTAGTGCCCACAGGTCCATTGAATCTGGACTCAGCTGTGCTTGGTGCTGCATAAATGCACATAAAATGTTCTTTTTCCAGATCTGTATGTCTCTTGATCAGTAGTGTCTTTCTGTCTCACTAGAGATAGTTCAGTTAATTTAGTATTCCTATTGTGCATGAAATAGAATATATTAGTCTACCTGATCACAGAAGAAACATGGATACTTTTATTGATGCTCTGGCTATCTTTTAAAAAGGGGAAACAGATTACCTTATTGTTGTTAATAGTCTGTACAATAATGAATGTTTACAAGATTTTTTTTTCATGATCTTTTGTTACTTAAGGCAAAATATTTGAGACATTTGTTGTTTTGAGGCATTAAATATGTTTTGCAAGGTAATTAAGGAGATTAATGCTAATTATAATTGGTGTCCATTCAAAAACGTCAAACCTATTTAAGCATATTTTTCATAATAGTTGTTAATTAGTGAACTGCATTGAAGTTTACATACAGAGAGTAGTTAAAAGCTAATCGGAAGAAAAGTCATGCTGCTGCAGATCTGGAAGACGTGAACAACCTGCAGCTGACTTAACACAAGTCCAGGAATGAGCCAAATATGTTGCTTTTTCACTGATCTTTTATTTATTTCCTCCCACAGTATTTTAAAAAGCAGAAACGGTTAATCCCAGAAAGGACGGTGTGGAAATATTTTGTGCAGTTATGCAGTGCAGTTGAACACATGCACTCCCGCAGGGTGATGCACAGAGGTAACATTAATTCAGTCTCTTTTCACTGAATAATAATATAATGTTCCAATTAGTAAGCGCCTACATTCAAAAACAATTATGCTGATGTTCAGCCAATGCATGTTTAGAGAGGCTGGAGCTTGCAAGATGGATTTCTCCTTCTGTCTCTTTGCCTCATTGTTAAAGGATTCAGTCCGAAGTGAGTGTGGTATTAGGAAGATGAGCTGCTTTGTATTCCAGACACTGATATTAAGTAGAAGTGTCAAACTTGCCATTAGAAAAGTGTCAGAAGTAAAATGCTGAGACTACTGGATACAGTAAGAAATAGTCTTCATTATATTAGCTGTGACCTTAGAGAGTTTAGAAGAGTTTTTCTGTCTTGCAAGCTTTTCTGAAATATTAATACAAATATGTTCCACACTCTCATAACCTGTTCTCTATTTTCATTAATTATTTTTGAATCTCTTGTCTCAGAACTTTTTGTAACTTTGAGCTCTATCCAAAAATTACATTGCTTCTTTCAGTGTAAATGAAATGCTTTGTGAAGGACTTGACCCAGGAAATGCAAATATCCCAAAAGGCACCAATACCAATCTCTGCTGCTTGTTATTTCCTTTCTCCTTTGAAGTAGTGAATTCTTCACTATTCTTTTCAGGAACATGATAGCATTTTTGCTCCTTTATACATCACCTGGTGCAGTATCAGTTGTACCTCAATTAGGTCTGTAATTGATGGCTGAAATTTGGAGCCTCACACATTTAGTCTGCTTTAACGTGAGGAAAGAGCCTCACTAACTCAACCCTGACATGATTGTTCGGGAAACTGGGGTTCTAGTAATTTTTGCACTGAATGAATAAGCTGGGCTGTGTAGAGCCCAGAATTCATGTATATGTGGGACCCCTGCTTTGGTGTGAGGGGACAATGGGACATACAGTTTACTGTAGAAAACGATCATTTCCAAAGAGAATTGGACTTATTTCTTTGATTGCCATCAGTTAAAGAGGTTGTCTGTATTCTGTTGTGCTGTTTCCTACATTTTCCCTCATTGGTATTTCTTGTGTGCTGGGAAGTATACTCTGATTTTTGTGTATGTGCGGAGCTTTAAGTCTTGGAAGATTCAGCCTATCAAAGCTATAAAGAAACACGGTTCTGCTCGAGCCTCTTTTGTACAGAGAGTGCTCCAGGCTATGTTTCTATTGCAGTAGTAGAACCAAATAACCTTTTGTGGCTTTGACCTTTTACCTTTTTCTTCTTGCAGACATAAAACCAGCCAACGTGTTTATAACAGCCACAGGGGTGGTGAAGCTGGGAGATCTTGGATTAGGACGGTTTTTTAGTTCTAAAACCACTGCAGCACATTCCTTAGGTAAGATGGTACTTGTAGACATTAAGCAAGCACTGCTGTACAGTTGTCAGCTGTGATGTTCAAAATAAGTGGTATCTGTCCTCTTACTATGACAGAAGCTTGATTCAGTGGATGCACACTGTGTTTTCTGTGATACGTATTTCAAATACTCTTCATATGAAATTAATAGGGTTTTTTTGTTTTAAAACTCCACTTGATATTTTTTTTCTGGAAGGTCTGGCTTGGTGAGTGTATGATTTATAGCAAATGTAACAAATGCAGCTTTTCCACTCTAAATAGCATGTTTGCCTGCACTCTGCTTACTGGAATTAAATGTTACACCACCACCATTTTTAGCAGATGCTGGTCAGCTGTCTTACCCTGAACAGGGGCTGTGACTGTCATCTGAGGTGAGGGAAGTTTTCAAAGTCCTCATGGTTCATCTGTTCCAAAAAGGGACTTCACTTGAAACTCAGCTTAGGCTTTAAAGATCCAAGTTTTCTTAATGTCTTCCACATATCTCAAGGTTGTTTTCCTGCTCTTCTGTGGGTGCAACTAATTGTTCTTGCCAAAGCATAGTGCCTTGCTTTTATTGTTGTTGAATTGTATCCCGTTTCCAGACTCTCCTACTTGCGATCACACTGAGTTTTTTATTCTGTACACTGGTGTGCTTTGGTTCATCCCAGCTTCTTGTTATCCACAAAGTCAATAGCATAGCCACAGTCCCCCATGTTAATGCTTGTGTTGAACAGAACTAGAGCTATTGGCTGTCTTGCAGGACTTCACTTGAAGTAGCCTTCTACTTGGTCGGAAAAGCAGTGCACTGTCAAATTTTGCATCCATTAGAGTAGTTTCATTTAGATTTAACAGTTTGCTTGTAAGTAAAGTTATACGAGCCTTTGATAACAGCATTAAAGTTGTAATACATCTGTTGCTTCTGTTTCTCTCCCTCTGAAGCCTCTTACCCTATCATGGGAAAAAAGTTACCATTTGTCATGATGTTTTGTGGACCAGTCATAATGATGATGATTTATTTCTTGTTATTTTTTTTCTGTGTTTTACAAGTAGCGTGATTATACCTCCAGCATTTTTCTGGGAATTGAAATTAAGTTGACTGGTTTAAAGCATCTGGGTTCCTCTCTTCCTCATTTTTACTGTTAGCATTAATTACAATGCTATAGAAAAGTATACAGTATATACAGTTCATTCTTTAAGTCTTACAGTATAAAGTATTTCATAACTGTGTCTGTAACTTCTTGAGAGGTGGCTGGTTTCTGTTTTTATTAATGGGTCTCAATTTTTTGAGTCACAAAGGTACTTCTGTGTTACAGCATTGGAGGAAGTTTGGCTTTTAGTGTAGTATTTAAGCTCTTTTACATTTAGCTCTCAGTTGATTTTTGGAACACATGACATTTGTTTCACTATGTGTCTTTGTGCAGTTTCCTCCACTGAGTGTGAGTCTTGCTCAGTTGTTTCTTATGTGTATACAGACTTAATTCGTAATAGTTGCCAACAACACTGGGGCTTCTTGGTGCACAAGGAACACACATGCCATATTTTGTGTGTGCTTAAAAAAAAAATGAGGTGTTTCTACAGTTTACTTTCAGAAAATATTAGGAGATTTCCCTTTGCATCAAAAGCTGTCTTAGGGTATATTCACACTATACTTAATAGATTAAAATAAATCCTTTTCACAGAAAGTTACAATCACATCATCTGAAGAGGCACAAATATGGTCATGTCTAATTATATGATCTTACCTAGTTTGACTGCTGCACTTATTATATTAATAAGAATAAATTGGGGATTGGAAACTGGCTGCACATGTAAGCCAAGCTTGTGACCTTTACCAGGGTTGCTAGCTCTTAATTGAGAAAGCTTGTGTAGGAAGAGCTAAGCCTCTTCTGCATGAACCTTGCCCTTCCTCAAATCAACAGCATCCTGGAAACAGGTGAATAAGGTGCAAAACACAAAGGGAGCAGCAGTGAGTGATACTGGAGGCAGTGTGTTGTGTTGTGGGAGGGATGGACACACCACCATTTCCAGTTGTTCTTGTATCCAAGTGAAAAGAACATTTTAACAATCAAAAAATAAGCAGGCTTCAAGCTTGGGGGGGCGGGGGTGGTAATTTGCCAGACATACAGGTTTTGTAGCAGCAGGAAATCTACTGATCTTGGTTTTGGTTTAATTAAGACATTTGTTTAAGTAGCTGTGAGGGATGAACACCCTGCAAACCAGAGTGTGGTACCCACGTGGACACAGGCTGCGATGCTGGGCACTTCCCGGAGCCGCGTTGCCCCGGCAACCGCCCTGAACCATCATTTCTCTGGCTGCTGACCCATGAATTGAATGCGCGGCTTATGCAAATATATTCATCTAATTTTTTTTTTCTTTCGTTGTATTTGCTAGCATCAGACTGGCATAAAAGGGCATTAGGCAGTACCACGACCCGTCTGACAGGTGTACCACCGGGCTGCGGCAGCGCGGCTGCCGCCGTGTCAGGAATGGGAGCCGTAATTAGAGCAAGGAACAGAATGAACGTCAGATGAATTACCAGGCAGCAGATCATATTTGTCAGGAAGGATTGCATACATAAAAATTAAGTGACAGTACATGCCGGGGTAATGAAAGAAAGATGAAAGATTTGCCTGTACACAGCTCGTGAGATGCAGGCGAGCGCCTTGCTCGGAGCAGCGGCAGGATGCCTGACTGGCAGCATGGCCGGTCGGGAGCATTGCCGGGGCACCCGGCGATCGTGAGGCAGGGAAAGCCTCAGCCCCTGGAAAACCTCCATGGCCACATCTGCAAGAGGGGAAACATGGACACCTGCTGTCTCCCTAAGTAACAAAACTGTGTTAGGAAAGGCAGCAGTATTGTGGGATGGGTGATAAACACCAGAAAGCAGCTGGGGGTGGAAGGTGTGGGTAAATTCACCAGGTGGCACCTCTTCTGCCACTGTCCCTTTTCCCTGTATGACTTGTGAGAGAAGCCAGGAGATACTTTTCCATAGGGGAGAGCTCTTCATGCACAAGCTTTACTGGAAAACTCATGTTTTAAAGGTAATGAGTGTAGCTAAGGTGAATTTTACTACTTCTTACTACAACATGGTGGCTTACCATCCTTCCTTCCCTAATTTAAGCTCCCCTGTAGCAGAAGGTCCAGGATTTAGTTTAATGGAGATGGACTTGTACATCACAGAAATTTCATTCTATTAGGGGGCATAGGAGGGAAGGGGGAGGGGGGGGCAAGTCAGCATGAAGTGAGGAGGAATGCTCCTCCCCCCACTTTTTCTGTTTATTTTCAATATTGCTTACTATTTTCTTGAAAAACTTTTACAGCCTGTTCTTTGCAGTTCATAATGCGAGCATTTTACTACATTCATAGTCTTTTTTTTTCTTTTTTTTTTTTTTCATTTGTGTGGTTATTTTTTTCCCCAGAGGAGCCATATGATACATGTTTGACAGGCTATTTCACTACAGAAAATGACTATACTTAACCCAGGGCTTTGCACCTGGTAATGATGAAATGACACCTGGGTGCTGGAGTTTGGGAGTGTGACACCATGTAGTTTGGGTTGATTTTATAGTACTGGTGTGTGATGTGCTTCCAGGTGTCATCTTTCATCCAACATTTAATAGGGCTAGGAGTATTTTTTTGTTTTTTTAATGTTTGATCATGTTCATTATTTATTTTGTTGATCTCTGAGGTGGGCATTCAGAGGAATAACTTGTCAGTTAAGGCTATTCTAATATGCTTGTTAGAAAGTTTAAGTCATTAACTTTGCTATAAAACCTAATTAGTTATAAGACAAAAATTATAAATAGCAGACCATATTTAAAAACTGCATAACTTATGGATAACTTAACAGTAAGCTGGTAGATGTTGTTTTACTAGGAGCTGTAATAAATATAGAGAGTTTCCATTAATGTTAAAATGGATAACTTTATTGTGAACTGATATAATAGCCATTTTTAGCCAAATAAACTTGGCATTATCCAAAGCTTCTGATTAGCTTTACGTTTTGAAGAAAAAAAAGAGAAAAGAAAAGAAAAAAACAAAAAAAACCAAACCAAAAACCTAAAGAACAATTTTACACAGAATAGTCATGTTTTCGAGCAGATGATTTATTATTTGTTCTTCGACAAGAATAAACTTGGAGCAGATTTTCCTTTTGGGGGATGCATGTAAGTCAAAGCTTCCCAGTTTAGAACATGCAAATAGCTGTGGATTGGAATACGTGGGGTGTTACACGTTCATTCTGGTTTCATGTTGGATATGAGGGCGAACAGAGAGTAACTGCAGTCATGAGAAGAGCTCTTTTACAAACAGAGTATTTGTCTTTTTTTTTTCTTTTTTCTTCTGCTTGCCAAGCCGGTTTGCCATCTGAAACAAAATCACAGTACTTCAAGGGGCTAGTCAGCAGTACTTGTTAAGAAAAAAATGGACAATAGAAATCCGCTTAAAATTTCAACAGCTAATATTCTGTGCATTTTGAGAAATTTTGGCCTTTTGGTCTGTGTCTGTAATACAGTATTTGTGAAAGAAAAGATTGCTGCAGAATTACTGAAGGTATATTGTACTACCTACATGTAAACAACAACAAAACAAAAAAACCCCGAAAACTATAAGGACTTTGGTAGGGTTGTGTATGTAATTAAATACTAATAAGAAAAAAGAGAGCTTAGAGCAACAGGTCTTGTAAAAACAGCTGACATGTTATGCACAAAATATTTATTCTCTTTTGTAAGAATAAGTAGATTTAATCTCTCCCCCCCGCCAACAACAACAATTACTGGGGGTACCTTACACTGAGATTTAAAGGAATTTAAAGTATATTTTAGTGCCTTTGACCACTGTTTCACTTTAGCTAATTCCCAAATTATTCTTCTGGGAAAAGACCTCAGCCACCTTCTTGGAAATATATCCCAAGTAATGCAAACGTTTAGAAACTGGTACTTATGAACTAGACTCCTTTTAAATGATCCTGTAAATTTTTCTTGGTAACCTACAAGCATGTCTGG